CTAAACACATCGCCAAACAAGGTAAAATCCTTATTATCGTTATTATTTATTTACAATCAAACAAGTTATACTAGCTACTTATACTGTACTATACTATAATATACTAATAAACTAAACTAATAAACTAAAAAAAAATAGCTACAAATTGGTAGCATGTCAACAGATATGAAGGTGATGTTTTTGACATTCAAAAAAAGGCATTTCAAATTGTTCGAATTAAAATTATTGGGATAATAATTATAAGTACGTATTATTCAATATGAATATTGTATAATCAGCTATTGTATAATATTAAATATATCATATCAAAACACGTTATTTGTTGGACCTTTTTGGGAACAAATTGTTCAATGCCGCCGTCAGGAAGTGGTTAACTGGTGGACCGTAGTCGTCTCCCATGTAGATGTTGCACTTCGGGCACAGATTATTCCCAGCCATTATTAATACGGTCAGACACTCCTACAAAAAAAATCAAACAATTATGACTGACGTAGAATAATAAATCATCATTAATTTTTGCTACAAATACTATTTTTCTTAGTACGTCTCTCCTAGTGTTGTGTCAATCGTTCATTTTACAGGAACCGGATCAATCACTGACCGACTCTGAAAACGATCATTTCAATCGTTTCAATTCATTGTCCTTTATATGTTTATGTATGTGAGAGTAGTAGCTTAGATTCTATAAGAAATATTCGAGAAGCTAGACTTTATTATGTTTTTGTTTTATGGAAATATGTGCTACATTCAAATATAAATATTTATTGTGATTGTGCAAATAATTTTGTTATTATTTGTGGTTTGACTTATTATTGCCATTTAGTAATTCATCAATTTTTTTTTCATTTCTACCTTGATGTTTTTTATTTTTTTATTTCTGTAATTCTCTTCTATTTCTTTTAGCTTATTTTCTATGTGTTTTCTCTTCTTTTCTCTCAGCACCCTCTTTACTTTTTGTTTTTGCTACCTATATATATTCTTTGTCTCTATTGTTTCTTTCGTGATCATTTCCATCCTTAATCATTTTCTTAGTTCTATTTCCTTTTGGCACTCTATGTCGAACCAGTCTTTCATCTTTTTATTATCTTGTTTATTACGTTCTTTTGCTGCTTTGTTCATTATTTGCTTTATGTTTTCCCATTTGTTCTCAGTTTGCTCTTCTATTTGTATCTTTTTTAGTTCTCTTTCCATTGTTTCCTCGTATATTTCTTGCTCTTTCTTTGTTGCTAATCGAATTGGGTTATGTATACATTTCTTTTTTTTTATTTTGTTTTTGTTTTCTGGTATCAGTTGCTTAATTTTAATGCCCACCATGTAATGATCTGAGTCAGCGTCTGGTCCTCTGTATGTTAGTATCTTCTTTATATATCGCTGTTCCTCTTTTTCGATAAGCACGTGGTCTATTTGGTTTTTATCCAATCTTTACTTTATTTCTTTCTTCTTGAGCAATGTTTTGAGCATTGTTTTCTGTATTTCTCGTTTTTTTCTGGTTGTATCTTCGTTGACTTCGTTGCTATTTTGTACTCTTTAATTTCTTTTAACTTATGCTTTTTTCCATTATGTTTCCATTATGGTTCTGTATTATTATCTCCTACACATGTAGTGTATTATCTCCTATGGCTAGCCTATTTCTTTAAATTTTACCCCGTAAGTAGCAAATTTTTACATTAAATAATCTTCTGCCACTAAGTTCTTTCTTGTGCATTTCAGATTTTCTTCTCCTAAATTTATAGCTGAACATGAGAGAGATGTCGAAACACGTCCAATATTTTAAATATTAAAGAATTTTTAAAATGTTAGTAATCTTACAAACCACATTAGAGATACTCTTCATTATGAACAATTTAAAACTATTGCAATTGCATCGTTTGACAGAAGAAGTATTTTTAATAAATTTTAAAGTGGAATAAAATTTGTCTAATATATGTAAAAGTAAATAAAATGCAGTAAATAGTGGGAATACTTACTTTGCAGATAGTATGTCCGCATGCTGTAGAAATAGCTTTATCAGGGATAGACTCACACAACATACATTTAAAAGTATCCTTAACTTTTCTTAAATATGTTGTTTTTTCCATCTTTGAGTGATTTTTGACATTCTTTCCACAAATCGACATTATGAAAATCACCATCTATTAACACCTGTACATCCGCCGAAAGTACATACGGTTTGTTTATGTCCTCAGACTCCTCAGTTTTTGGATCAGAACCATTTGAATTTGGTTCTGATTCCTCACTTATAGGTTCGAAGAGTTCGTCCGGGTTTGGGAGAATTTTTGAATATCCTGTAAATGGCATTCTTTCACATACTTGGGCCTTTTGTCCTGCTTCTTCTGATGATTTGGAAGTTACTGGAATTGATCTCTTGCGTTTATAGCTCCTCCTAGGTTGACCCCTATTTTCCCTTTCGGAGCTTTTATATCCTACATAATCGTCAGGATACTAAAATAAAAAAGTAACTTTAAATATGTCTCGAATTATTAACCCTGGAACCTCATACTTGGGTGTGAGATACCCATCGAGACACTTAACTGAATGTAGCATGCGCGAATCGCATTTCAATACCGCTTCATGTAAATTCAGTCTGTAGTCTTCCAAGGAAGAAGTTTGTAGTTGCTGTCTCGTTTGAGCGACATTTCCGATCACGAGAATTTATTGAATAAGCGCTAGCACCCATGTGTGAGGTTTCCGATAATTTGTTAATTTTTCTTATAATTATTTTTTAGTGAAATGGCTTCATGTGGCTGGAAAGAAAACAGGGAAAAACGTCGTCCGTTGACCCAAGCTGAACTGGAAAGGGAAGCTGAACATTTATTTGATAATGAAAACAACGAGGATGATGGTGAAAATACCTTTGGTACCGATTCTGAATCTGAGGAGGATTATGTCGAAGAACAAAACTCCAATACCGACACTGATGAAAGTTAACAAAGTGATAGTGAAACAGATCATGAACCAGTGAGAAATGTTGCAAGTTTACTTGGAAAAAACGGGCATCGTTGGTCTACAGAACAGCCCTCAAGGCGTGGTCGTACAACAGCCGCAAATATGGTTATACGTTTACCGGGCGGCAAAGGAAATGCCAGGATACTTCAGTCTCCTGAAGAAGCCTGGAACTTAGTATTTAATGAAGAAATGTTAGATATTAACGTTCTTTTTACAAATGAAGAAATCATTCGCAAACGTGAAAGTATCACAGCGCAAAGTTACACCAAATTGACAAATAAAATAGAAGTTAAAGCCTTCATTGGGTTATTGTTCATATCTGGTGCATTACGTGTTTCTAACTCTAGTGTTGATGAACTTTGGTCCCTACAATTTGGAAATGGAATTTATCGTGCTACGATGTCGCAGCAGAGGTTTGCATTTCTAGCTGTATGCCTAAGGTTTGATGATAAAAATACAAGAGCAACAAGAAAAGCAGCGGATAAATTTGCGCCCATACGCGAATTATGGGAAATCTTTATAAGCAACTGTACATCATACTACACCCCTTTTCAGCATTGTACTATCGATGAACAGCTCGTAGGATGCAAGGGGAAATGCCCATTTAAAATCTATATGAGTAGTAAGCCCGACAAATATGGAATAAAGATAATGATGATGAATGACTCTAAAACATTTTATGTGGTTAACGCTATTCCATATATCGGAAAAGTCCAAACACAGGATAAGGAGTCAGTACCAGCTTTTTACGTTCGGAAATTGTCGGAACCAATACATGGAACCAACAGAAATATAACAGTAGATAATTGGTTTACTTCAATACCTCTTGCTGATCAAATGATGAGACAATTCAAACTAACTATCTTGGGTACACTAAGAAAAAATAAACAAGTAATTCCACCGTCTTTTCTCAGTAAAAAAGATGTAGGTACATCATTATTTGCATTCGACGAAAATAAAACTATCATCTCATACACTCCAAATCCCAAAAAATTGGTTCTCTTGCTGTCAACATTACATCATGATAATTCATTAAATGCTGATACAGGAAAACCAAACCTTATACACACCTATAATGAATCAAAAGGAGGTACAGATACGTTCGATCAATTATGCCATTCTTATACTACATCACGAAAATGCAGACGATGGCCACTAAGAATTTTTTTAACATGCTTGATGCAAGTGGCATAAATGCAATGGTGCTATTTTCTCTCGCAAATACCCATTGGAAAGAAACTGCATCTAATAAAATAGAAAATCTTTTCTGAAGTCTTTGGGAAGGGCTTTAATTGAACCACTAATGCCAGAGACTTTAAATACCTTCTTTACCGAAATCACTCAGGCAATCAATTTGTGGCATTCTCCAAGTTGAAGACCTTCCAGCACAACATCCCACAAGTTTAGTGAAGCAAACTAGGTGTTATCTCTGCAAAGGAAAAGATAGAAAAACGAAGCATGCATGCTCGGCTTGACATAAAGCATACTGCAATGGAGCATAGAGCTAAACTGTGTTGTGAATGCAGTCACCAAAATGAGTGAAATTGAAATACCTGGCTAAGAATGACTATAAGTTCTATAATCAAAAGGTGTTAGATTTTAGTTAGAAAGACCATTTTGTTGTTATATTAAGGTAAAATATTTTGAATTAGGTTTCTGGTTTTTTTTAGAAAATGTTTGTTAAATATTTTTAAACATTTTTAATATTTTTTTCTTTTGTATTACTACAATTAAGAGAGAGAAAATAAAATGATTGATTTAATGATTCTTGTGTATTCAATAGTGACTAGACAGTCACTGGAAATCATAAAATATTTACTTTTTTATTTATTTCTTCACAAAAAATCAATGGGTATCTGATACCCATATGTGAGGTGTATGTCAAAAAAAATAGGTGTGATATTCCAGGGTTAAGTAAAATGACATTAAAGAAAGAATAATACAACAATAATAATACAATAAAAAAAAATACAACAAATTCATATAATCCAGTCTAGAAATAAAGAAATTATTTGACAAAAAAGGCCCCGAGAAGAACATTTTTTATTGGTTAATTATTGGGAATTTAAAATACTTACAATAACGTTATATTCAATTCCGTTTTCGTGCCACGGTGCGGGTTCGGGATCATCTCTCCGTAAAAAGAAAGAGTAAACTGGGAATCCTTCACTTACATCTACTGTGTAGCTAACAACTTTATAAATCCCATCATAACGATAACCATCGTTTGGAGAAACGGTTGATTCTTGTTTCTTATGCGGGCATCTAACCACTCGAACTGGTAGTCCAGCCTGCCAGTCTTGCGCAGATTGGGCACCTCTTGGGTTTAATTCTGCATAGCAGCTTCTGGCTAGGGCTCTAAAATATTTTTTTGTTATCGAAAAAAAAAAAACACTTCAAAAACTCAAGTCCTGCTACCACCAAACATCTAAAAGATTCTTTAATAGTGTATAGGAAACTGGGACACTACCTGACTGACATACATTCCACTAACCACAAAGCCGCACAGACCCTTCATGCAGCCTTCCGATCATATTTAGGTCCGATTATGTCATGACGCATGTCACGCTTGCTACATTCTCGTTTCCGATTTTTTATTAGTCTATGCCTGATCCATGAAAGGAATTACAAAAATATCGTTTGGATGAGAGTGCTCGTGAACGTATGTACAGTGGAACCCACGATTATCCGTCAGGGCACCGGACCAAGGGTTTTGAGGTTGTGACGGGTAATCGAAATTGACGGTTAACAAGAACATTAAAAAAAATTTCATACTTCTAACTCTTTAAATTTTCTTTGTTATGTTTTATTTGACAATATGAAGAGGGATTTATGTTAGTACAATCTCGAATCAGTTTGAATTTTAAATTATTCCGAAATCTGGTCTTCACAATTTTGCAAACGGCTGATTGTGCTTAATCGACTCTGTACAATCATGTAATCTATCATTATTTGCTTCTTCTTTGCCGAGAATACCCCTTGATGATTTGTTGTATGTGCGATACAGCTCCGCTAGCTTATTTACGCAAAATCTACAAAAACCTTTGTGGAGTGGTAATAGCATCATCAACATCGACCACCAGTCAAAGTTTCTGTCAGACTTCTCTCCTGTCAGACTTCGTCCGCCAGGCACCTGTTGCCATTTCAAATTATTTCATCTTCTGTCACACATTCGATAGTCCGTTTTCGCGTCTTCATTACAAAATTAACCATTCTGTTTATGTCATTTTTAAGTCAAACGACAAACAAAACAGTTGGTTCAGCCATATACTTTCATTTAAGGGGAGTATTTTCTCATCTTAAGTTTGATTAAGGCCATAACTTATCTCCACGCTTCTTTTCAGCGTTACTTTCCGAAACATCAGCCCTTCCAGTATCCACAGCATTGTCGACGTGTTTTTAAATATTCTGGCAAATAGAATATTACTCTTTTCATAACTAGTTTTTTGAATAATTTTTTTTCTGTATCTTCCTTTTGATTGTTTAAATGACTGACTGATCCATTTAGCTGTATCAATGATTGTTGTAATTCGTTGAGACTGAGTAGAGTACGTGTTATTGTTTTATCGTCACCCTCGCCGCATTACCGGACTTTAGGAGTAGCCAGGGTGCATTGTCCAAACATTGAGAATCGTTCTTATGGTGGTGGTCGAAAGATTGTTTGCAAACAAAATTGAATTGATAACTAAATTTTTTACTTATGATGTCAATCATAACCAAACTTATGTATGGACCCTGACGCGTTTAACAGAGGTGGACGGTTTGAATAAGAGAGACGGATAATCGAGGTGCCCAACTGTATTGGGTGCATGTTGCTCGGAAGAGAAACTTTTACGTTCAATCTGTTGGATGACGAGACCACAATGTTTTTCGACGACTTATAAGCATGGCCGATCTACACACTTACAATATGTTTGGATACTTAAACTGAAAGAAAAATTGTCCAGGAAAAAGATTTCACTCTCAGAAAAGAGATAAAAAAAAACATTCTGAATTGATTGGCCTATTCTTCAGCAGATGATCTATCTATCATTAAATTAAATTCTATCAATTCATGCTTGTCAAATTCGAAGGAGGGTGTATAGATAGGGCTGCATTGTGTTCCCACTTTAATATATATGAGTTACATCTATTCTGAGATTCGTTTCAAGAATGCTTTGGCTGGCTGTTCAATGTGATATCAAAATTAATGGCACGTCAATATTGATAACTTCAGGTCGCGGATGACACAGTGATTAATTGCAAAATAGTTACGAAGAACTCTCATACCATCTGAGTATTTGGATTACCACAACGTGTGATGAATATATACTGAAGCTAAGCAGCACAAAGACAAAGGTGATGATTGTCAGTAAAACGCCAATACAATTAGAAATGGTAGCAGCTTATGGAGAACAACTGAAGAGAACCAACCATTTCATCTATACCTTGGAGTAATCTGAATGAGAACTGGGGACATGAGCAAAGAATTTAGTATAGGTATTATTAGTCAGAGCTGTATTTTTTACGATGAAGAAAATCTTATGTGGAAACAATATCACTTTGAAACTGAAAATTAGATTGTGTGGTCACTTGATCTTATTATATGATGCCAAAAGGTTGGACTTGAACTTCTCAGAAAATTGGAAGCCTTTGCAATCTGGGTATATCGGAGAGTTCTATAAATAAGTTGTGTCGATAGAGTTTACAAGCGGGATTTAGGGCCGGAAGCTATTAGAAAATTTGCTATGGTAAAACGAGTGCAGAGAAATAGAGAAACCCAGCATAGCTTTAAATTAGATTTGAGAAAAAAGCATAATGCAGTGTGTACCGTAACTCCTAACATATGCATTAGAAAATTGGGTAATACTTGAAAATTAAACCCCAATTCTTATTAACGCCCACTCAAAAAATACTACGAACAAAACTTTGCAAGAATTAAAATGGGACAATAAATCACCTCTCCTTTTTCAAACACCAAAGGGACTAAGAGACAAGGCTGCTGTCTTGTCTACCCACCTTATTTTTAAAATCCTATTTGGGGCAGCTCCTTAGTGAATATGGGTAAAAAATGTTGAAGAAACATGGGATATAACGGTGGACGAAAACCACGCTATACTACACTTTTCTTTGCGGCATGACCAGGTAGTTAATTTACCGAAGCTATGTTAACGATCTTCGGTGGGAAATCAGCAAGAAAAATTATGAGGGTGGCAGGTCTAAACATGAGTAATGACAAAATGTGAATATGTCTAGTGGGAAAACTAGATAAAATATGATGTCCTTACTCTTGGAAGACCACAAAAATCAAAGGCGTACAATCCTGCAAATCAAGCAAATCCTGCAATCATATAAATCGAAAAACAAGTGGTAGCTTTAGCTTTAAGTTTTAGATTGATATGAAATATTGTTTTTATAGACGATTTATTTATTTTAAAGATTATCCATTTTATAGAACGAATTATCTGTTACAATTCATGCAAAACAAAATCTTTAAAAGATTTAAAATCTTATTTTGTACAACTTATGAAATTTATTTAAAAAACTTACAAATTATTGCCGGTCAGGGCAACTGTAATCATCCCTTTGTTGCCCTCCGCTTCATATCTAGCTCTGGCCTTCTTATACATGTCATCACACACATAAAAAAATTCATCACCGCAGTCCATTTTGTTATTGCCTTGTAGAATGATAGAAAATGCCGATTCATCACGACCGGCATGTACAAAGTTAAGTAGAGGTCTATGTACACCAGCAGCTGATAGCTGAAATACAAGAAACATTTATTATTATTTATTAACATTTAATATTAAGAAATATATCTCTCGCGGGGAGCCCTGAAAAATTATTCACATTTTGAAAAAATTGACAACATCTGGGGCAATCCCTTTCAATATATACAGGGCTTAGAACCTGTTACGATTTTCATTGAAATTTGGTTTTAATTTATAATATATAATAACTTTTTAAATACCATGTATAACACAACACAACTTGTAATAAAGTTTGAGTGTTCTGGAAGACCCTTTACATTTGTACCTATTTTTATAAATGACTTTCGTATAACAGATATAATAACAGTTTCAAAAGTTGAATACCCTGTATATTGAAAACATTTACTAGTATGCATATTATCTTTGCAGGAAATTAAATTTTTTGTGAGCAGCTTTTTTATTTAATATTTTGTTCAAATATGGGGAATCTTATCAAGGAAACTAACTACCAGAACTAACTTTTTCGCAGGAGCAGTACAAAAAGACTATTGGAGACGAAGGGGATTAGAAGTGAAAACCGCCCCCTAAAGTAAAATTTTCCTCCAAATACGACTTTAGTGATGTTTCACGTTCTGAATATCTTATATATGTTTCGGTCGTTAGTTAAAATCGACTACGCTCCCAACCCCTACTTTATCGCCATCTTTTTGATGATTAGAAAAAACAACCAAAATGGAAATTCACTCAATCGTATAAGAGCAGAAATACGCCTTAGCGAGCACATAGGCTGATTTTACCTCCACACAAGCACGCGGCTGGATATAAATTATATTCTTTATTAACTATGTTGTTTGGGTTCCACTCCAACGGTTTGGATATGCTTATATGGCGCGTGTAGGTTATACTGCTTTAGTAGATTAACAGCAGTGTTTTTTTTTTTCAATGTGATTACTATTGTTTGCAGAAAATGTTATATTTTGTCATTATTAAATAGTTGGATCATGTTTTTTGAGTTTGTGATATTATTTTTAGAATCAGTTAGTGTTCCATACGCTTACAGATGGAGAAATCTGATTTTATTCCGACGTGAATTTGAAAGAAGATAACGTACAGCGATAATTCTATATTATCTGCCGAGGAAGCAACATATAAGCACACATGTGGAGTAGAATATTTGAGTAGTAAAAGTGTGTGTTTTTAGCTTGTTAGTTTTAATTTACGAAAAAAATCCCTAAACAAAAATTTATTTATTATGTCAATATTAAAACTTGTAAATACCGGTAAATTTAGTACCTAACCTTACAGTTATGTACTTTTAGAAATTTCGATAGTTAAGTTCCAACTTTAAGGGTTTAACATATTTTTCCTTATTCAGCTAATTGCCTAAAATTTACCGAAAAATGGAAGCGTAAACACTACATGCGATGGGAAGAGGAAATAAAATCACAAATAAGGGGCTTGCGAGCCAAGAATATCGAAAGCAGAGAAAAATTGAATGAAAATAGAAATGTGTCCCAGGAGTATAATGACATACCGTGTAGGGTGGGGTACCAACTGTGGAATATTTAACGACATTGTACAGTAAACGAACTCTTCTCTAAGTTGCGACAGTTTTACCAACCTGCAATCAGCTTTTTTTTGCTTCCATATATCAGAAAAAACTGACCCTAAAAAAAACTGGGCTAATAGCAAAAAAATTACATTACTGAAAATTTAAACTTCTTGGACCCGCCGTGTATGCAGACTTTTTCCTAAAAACTTTTGATATCAGAAGACAGTCCGCTTTAAGGTTAGGTGTATAAAAAGTTAACATAAACAATTTTGTGGATGCCTGATAAAAGAAGAAAATATGTTCCCCAACCAACACAAGTATCAGAGATACGCATGAAAAATAGTGCTTGAATATTATCAGATCATCACTAACGTTATAGGAGTCATTACTCTTATCATCAAAATCCAATATGAAATTACCTTTCGTCCGATTTAAACATTCGCAAAATAGTTTGGTTTTTACAAAGATAATAATTGCACTAATAACGTATAAACCCCCGGGGTAAGGGATGGGGGGATTATATTTTCAATACTGAATTCAATTTAAAATTTCATCATCCTCATTCAACTCCTGTTATAAATTGCGAGATCGGTTTGGTTAAACTTAATACTCCATCATTACTGAAGACGAAAAAAGAATGTACCGAGCACAATTTAAGTATGAAAAAATGGCAAAATTATTTAACAGCTGCTAGAGTTCATACCCCCCATTTTTACCATCAATTTATAATGATTTGCCGTAGGAGTCAAAGCAGCAAAAAAAAAAAACACAATGAAAAAAGGAAGCACTGCCTGTTAAGTCTCCAAGGAAGATTGCCCAACGTCGAATAAACAAGACTGACTACATAACATAGGTTTTTTCTCAGATTATAAAGTAACTCTGGTGTTATTAAAAAAGTACACAATTTGTATTTTTTTTTAAAAGAAATAATAAATATTAATTGATGAATAAAAATTAAGCTTTTGTTTTAGTTCTTTTTTGTGTATTTTAAATCCATTTTTGCTTTTTAAAGGTTTTAAAACAACCTAAGTGCATTTTTTTGTCCGAAAGCGATAAACAAACTAAAAAACATCCAGATATTTTTAATGAAGACAAAAACATTTGATGCTTTATTTTCTACAAATGTGTATTTTTGCTACTTAGGCGGGTTTTGCTTTCTGACACCCTTCTCATATAAATATCTGATTAATCTTGTAACATAACCTGATAACGAGACTTGAATCTCATGCCTACGGATACATCAGGCAAAGGCCCTAAGTGATTGAACGGGAGAAACTCTGCGCTGTCTACTCCAGTTTCATCTGAACTATAAACAAACGGAGCGGGTCGTGGTGGACATTCCGACTCCGAGTCATCGGAAGGAGTGAAAAACTTCGGTTTTGGTCTAACTTTCGATGGTGTGCGCAAAAATTCAAAACCTGCTTTCGCAGGTTTGGGTGGTAGCAGAACCACCATCATTTTTGTGAACGGATTTTTTTAAATTTAGCTGTGCAGGATATCCTTCACATTCTTCTGCTATAATAGAAATATCCTCATCGGTCAACATTTCATGTATATCTTCTGGACTTTGGATCTCTTCATCAGTTGACACTTCATGTATATCTTCTGAAGGAAGATCTTTGCTAGGACTTGTTTGTAATGTCTCTTGCAGAGAAATCTTCTCGGTATCAACTCCCAGTTGTAAGACGCTGATTTCCTCGGAAGGTTTTTGATCCTTTGAAATTTTTGGACCTTCATCTTCACTTAAAACTTCTATTAAATCTAATGAGGATAATAAATCGGTAGCCTTTTTTTTTGGTACATCAGCTGTGTTAGGCATTGTAGGTATTATTGCTTTATTTTCATCATTACTTAATTCCGCACTAACCTCTGCACTAGGGCTACTAGCCCTGTGTACTTCAGCTTGTACAGTTAGTACATGGGACTGTTCAAAGACTTCAGACGATGAAGTTTGCTCTACTAAGATTGGTGGTTGTAAATTCAGGTAAATCGACTGATTCGGGAGTTAGACTCCCTGCACATGTCCTTTCTGAGGTTACCTCGGAGGAATAACTATCTTCAGAAATTTTTTTTAAAACTGGTAGTGTTGGTGGTGCTGGTTCAATATTAGCAATTACGTATTCTGATTGGTCCGAGCTAGAATCGGAACCATATAAAGTCATTGTCGATGGAATACGCCGTGTTGGTATAGAAGGCACATCCTCTTTATACATATTGTAATTAATATATTTGCATTCTCCACAACGCCTGAAAAGTATAACATTTAGAGAATGTTTAAAAAACAGAAAGAGGCATATCAGACGTAATAATATATATATATATATATATATAATATATATATATATGTGTGTGTGTATATATAGTGTACATATATATATTAGTGTATATATATATATATATATATATATATTATATTAATATATATATATATATTAGTGTGAGGAAGCTCAGTAGATCTGTTATAGTAAAAATTACAAAAAAAATTATTAACAAAAATTGTAGGCAGCTTTAAACTCCATATTTTAAAATTAGTTACAATCCTACAGGGTGTTCCATAAGATGGTGGCAGACCAAACTTATGTTTTTTTAAATGAAACATCCTGTATTTTATTTTAAATTTGAAATCTGCTTCACTTCCACATTACAACAATGTAAAGTTTTATTATGTTATACCGGGTATTTAAAAAGTTATAACCAATATTACCTGAAAATCGTATTAAGTTTAACTCCCTGTATAATTAAAACGGATTGTAGGAACATTGATCTATTGCAACCATAGTTTTTTAATAATTGTTAAAAACTATAAAACATATTCATTTTCATAATATTCGTTAAATCAAATACATGTAAGTCAAAATGCAAGTACATTATTTTCTTGGTAATTTTAAATAGAACACCCTGTATTTTTATATAACTATCGAAAAGAACTAATATCGTACTTCATATTTTATGAAGTACTCCCTATACCTAAAGTTATTAGTCTTAAAGATATTTTTATTTTTCCATCAAAGTATTAATTTTGGTAGATATTTTAAACGTTTACCAATAATTATTGTGAGTTGGCCATGATTGATTTGTCAGAAAACTGACAGTTTGACATTAATATTTATTAATTCAGTATTGGGGTACACCGTAAATTAGCAACAATTATTATTTAGTAATTCAGTAATTGATTCAATTTAAATTAGCAATAATGAATTTTACTACTGATGAAATGGTAGATATGATCTGGATATTGGGGGAATGCAATAAAAATTCATTACTATCAGCTAGAATTTATCAAGAACGGTTTCCAGATAGGCGACAACCTAGACAAGATACATTTGAAAAATTGAAAGATCGATTTAACCGCACTGGTTCAGTGAATTATGAAAAACATGAACGAACAAAAACTAGTGTGACAGAGGAAAACGAAATGAGTGTGTTGATGGCGGTTACAGAAAACCCACACACAAGCATAAGGACTATTTCCTATGAACAAGAACTTAGTTACTACTCTGTTCAAAACATTCTATCTAAAAACAAGATGCACCCTTATCACATTCAAAAGCACCAAGAATTACTTAATGATGATTTTCAGAAACGAATAGTATTTTGTGAATGGGCCTTAGAAAAAATTAATAAGCAGAGAGATTTTTCTGATTATGTCCTATTTGGTGATGAAACTACATTCCATCTAAACGGTTCTTTTAATAGGCATAACTTTCACTACTACTCAACAAGTAATCCATACCACATAGTAACACATAGTCAAACAAGATGGTCTCTAAATGTGTGGGGAGGTATCGTCGGTAACCATGTAGTAGGACCATATTTTTTTGAAGATAATTTAAATGGTGAGATTTATTTAGATTTTATCGTAAATCAGTTTACCGATATTATTAGAAGAGGTTCCACTTAATATACGTAAAAAAATGTGGTTTCTACATGACGGTGCTCCTGCGCACCACAACGAATTAGTACGTGGTGAACTTAATAATCAATTTGGGGAAAGATGGATCGGAAGGGATGGACCGGTAAGGTGGCCCCCAAGGTCACCAGAATTCAATAAAATGGACTCATTTTTTGGGGTTACGTTAAGAACGAAGTATATAAAATACCCCCAACAACAAGGGATGATATGAAAAACAGAATCCGAATTGCATTTCAAAATATTTCTTTACAAATGCTTAGTAATGTAACCTACTCTTTCAATGACCGTTTTCAAGCATGCATAGATGTTTTGGGAGGTCATTTTGAACACCTTACTTAAGTAAGATAAGTTAAACTTACTGTTGTTTTTAATTTTTCTATGTGTTGTTATATATTTTTTTTATTTTCCGTCGGTTATTTTTTATAAATTTTATTTTAAATAAATTGTTTTCTTTTCTGTGTCGTTATTTCGTTACTAAATTATTAAACAATAATGTCAAACTGTCAGTTTTTGACAAATCAATCATAACCAACTCACAATAATTATATTGTGAGTTGGTAAACGTTAAAATATCTACCAAATTAATACTTTGATGGAAAAACAATAATATCTAGAAAACTGATAACTTTAGGTATAGGGAGTACTTTATAAAATTTGAAGTACGATATTATTACTTTTTGATAGTGATATAAAATACAGGGTGTTCTATTTAAAATTACCAAGAAAATAATGTATTTGCATTTTGACTTACCCTGTATTTGATTTAACGAATATTATGGAAACGAATATGTTTTATAATTTTTAACAATTATTCAAAAACTATGGTTGCAATAGATCAATGTTCCTATACTCCTTTTTAATTGCACAGGGAGTTAAACTTGATACGATTTTCAGGTAATATTGGTTATTACTTTTTAGTTACCCGGTATAACATAATAAAACTTTACATTGTTGTGATGTGGAAGTGAAGCCGATTTTAAATTTAAAATAAAATACAGGGTGTTCCGTTTAAAAAAACATAAGTTTGGTCTGCCACCATCTTATGGAACACCCTGTAAGATTGTAACTAATTTTAAAATGTGGAGTTTAAAGTTGCCTACAATTTTTGTTAATAAGTTTTTTTAGTAATTTTTACTATAACAGATCTACTGAGCTTCCTCACACTAATCAATCACCCTGTATATATATACATATACAGTGTGTAAAAGCTAAATGGAATAAATTCATTACTTAGGTTACTGGTTATTTATAAAAAATCCCGAAACACGTCAAATTTAAATTATAACTTGACATTCTTTAACGTGAAAATGCAACCCCTACCTTCAACCCCCTTAGAATGACAGGTACAACCCTTAATTTAAAAAAAAATAGGAAGTATAGGCTTGTGATATATCGTTTGAAAGGTCTTTTCATTCTCCATTCAAAATTGTTGTCGCTTTCAAGTGTATTAAGATTAATTAAGATAAAATAAATTAAAATCATGTGGTTACCGAAATTCGCTACAATACAATCAAAAACTAAAATGTAATGCAAAACGTAATAAAATGTAGAACACGAAAAAGAACTATGAATGTTAATGAAGTAGATTTTCAAAATGTTATTTTATTGACTTCTCATAAGTAGTAGTTGAGGGGTGAATAATTACTAGTTACTAATTACTACATTCATAAAAATCTAGCAGAGCGCAGATATATCATAAATATTATTTTTGGAATTCTACTAATTTTAAGCGTAAGCCAGCAAAATCGCTCCCCTTAAGGGTGATTTGGTGGTGAAATATTATTAGAGTGGTAATAAATTAGTGAAAAATGGGAGAAAAAATATTACGTAGGTTAAATTGGATTCCGCTCATTTGTCCCCGCTGGCTTAAGGGTCCTTTGGTATCGTTGTACAGTCGGAAAAATGAAAGATTAACCATGAACATATAAATAACACACATTTGTTATAGAAAAAGACAGCAAATACAAAATAAGTGATTGATTTATTCGTTCATCTTTCATTTTTCCGACTGTAGTTGTAATGTATAGTAAAGTATTTGATTTCGAACTATCGAACTTTTGGTAATTATTTTTGTTCGGTGCAGAATTCTGTTGGTATTACAATTCTATATTGTATTTTTTATGTGTTAAATTAGAGTACCACCTGTTAGTGATACTAGTGTCAATGTCATTCTAGAATCTAGAAAGATTGTAATCAGAAATTTGTGTTAAAATAAAAACGTTGTCAACATATCGTTTACTAGTCTATCTATAGGCAGATTTTTCCCGCATCCCCAAAAATTCTACAATTTGTCCCCTCTGGTTTTTAAAGCCAAACCGTATTTTCCTACAACATTTCCTACTGCTGAGAAATGACAGTTTGATTCTAGATATGTTAAATGTTGAAATTTTTTTATTACAAAATATATTTTAAATTTTCTATTGGAACTTTCCAGAAATATTTATATTTTTAAATTTAAACTTGGCATAAGTAATATGTTTTGTGATTTTGTTTTTGATATAATAAAATATATAATATAATAAAAGGCAATAAAGGCTAAACAAGAGAAGAACAATGGGAAAATCCCAGTGGTTGGCTGGATACCATACTTTTAAAAGCTTAAAGTGCAGTAAAAAAACTTCTAGTATCAAATTCATTTTTTTTTTGTAAAAAAAATTGAAATGATCCAAACGATTAAAAGTTTTCGGTCTTACTAGATGGACACTAAAAAAATAACCTTTGAGTTACATATAAAATTTTTTAATTAGGTATTAAAATTGATGCAAACATGAGGTCGATGTTCAAAGATTACACTTTAAGGGAACATACTGATCCCTATTTGAAACATCTGCGTCCTGAGCAAAATACCAGCCAAGAATGAGATTCTCAGTTATATTTTTAAAAGTATGTTAGACTGTATTTAAGATGATAAATAAAATATTAATACATACCAGTTGTCTTCAAAAGCTGTGTTACATACGAGGCAATATGGTGCGTATTCTCCTAAAAAGAAACAAATTGTCACCATGTCATTCGGATGACCTGGTCATCTTAGCCTATGGTAAACATAGCACAGAAAGTTACTTTGACTGTAGTCTGCATAAAATTACCCAAAAGGAGGAATTTATAGGAATTAGATCCTCTAATCTCGATAAAAAATAGAGAAATAAAAAATAAAAAAAGGAAACGTAAAAATTACAGATTTGAATTTGAAAACATTTGAAAATAAATAAAAAAGCCACAAAGAAAGAAGCAATCAAAACCATAATAGCAGTACAGTAAAGATCATTGAGATGTAGTCACTCACTAAAGAAATGTTAAAAGAATAGAGAAAATACCGTTATCAATAAACTCCAGCCACTGCTGAATAAAATATTACGAAAAATGAAGATCCCCGAAGACTGAAACGAAGCAATTATACAAAAAAAGCAAACAGACAATCATACTAACAGATTGATAACAAGATTGGACAGACACCAGACACGAGAATAGGCAGAATTTAGAAAGAGATTTAATGCCAGTGACTGTAAAATACTAATCGAAAACGCAAATGAAGATAACATCTCGACATATAGTGCTCTTGTACACTTTGAGAAAGCTTTTGACAGTGTGTAACAATAAAATTTTGATGAAAGAGGAGATCTGGAGCACATATCCACTACTGGTGTTATTCCGAAGACAGTCCTTAATACAGAAGACTGTACTCGCGACGTCCAGATGTGCACGAAAATTTTTGGGAGATACTCCAACATACCAAGTCACCTAGGGCTCGATAATACGGAAAGAGTCCCACCCGAGCTCAATCCTTTTGATATCGTAGGTATCTGGGATGAGTGAATTTTCCCCTTAAGAGGGAGTGTGAGCCGTATGGTTAAATCTGGGAGATAGTTAAACTACTAACATAAACTAGACTGCGGTCTAATAAAAAGGGCAATATTTGCAATTCAAGTATATAGGGTAAATCAAATTGTATTTTGACCAATCAGGATCAAACAGACAGAATTAAAAACATAGTTTTTAAATGGATCTTGAAAGTGTTTCAGTAGCTACTGTGAACCAAATTCCAATTTTAAACACCAAATGCATAAAATAGATTGATCATGTTTAATACTTACTTGAAGGAGCATGTATGTACTCCATACGAGTTTCTATGTTCACGGTCCTTCGTGGAAACTCTATTCTGTACAATTCGTTTACGAATTTTGTGCGGCAATAGTCTCCTGTAATATTTAGGGTAACAGTGACAAATTTATCTGCTACGTTTAAAATTGTACAATCGTACCTGCAAAATAAAGAATATGGTTTTAAAATTTAGTGTAATTATTTACATATAATATGATTTAGTCTTGGAAACTGAAATTTGAAAATTTGGAAAAGTATCAAAATTTATAAACTAGGATTTGTTTGGCTTAAGTGCCTCGACAACTAAGGCCTTTGACACGGTAAAGTTAATTTATTCTAAGAAATTCCAAAATAGGTATTAAATTTTATTGAAAAGATCAGTTTTTTTAGAAACTTCGAATGGTTTCTGCAAGCGATCTCTTCAAGTTATTTTTTTCCAGCATAACTGGTGTACTATTGGCAATCCGTTAATATATGGTCAGTAAATATGGTAAGGGCACAATTGTACTGTTGGTAAGATTAGTAAGATGTAGATACGGTAAGGGCATGTTGGTAAGATTAGTAAGATTAAGATCTTAAGTTGAATTCTGCGTAGGGCTGTATCACAGTTATTCCAACGAGTTTGCCAAGATTCTAGGATTGACTTTTTAAACTTAGCTTTAAGGTATATGCTTATTTGGATCGTTGTTTGGCTAACTGATGAAGTAAGCGTGTCTTTACCGTGGCGATCAGGCCAATGTGCGTTTGAAGCCAGACGATGATCAGTAAATATTGATTTTAATGAGAATATGGAGAAAAGGAAATTGGTGCAAATTGCTACATTTTTGAATGAGGTAAAAATGAATTTAAAGGCTTGGAGGCTGCTAAACAGCTCTTCTGTATGAATGTTTTGGATCCGGTCGTGAGTTGGGGTGGTTTGGTGGTCAGGCCGTGGAGTTGGGGTACCTACATAGTAAAAAATGACATGCACTCTATGGCATGCTGGACGAGCCATACAGTCTGTAGTCAATATCCCGAGGTATGAGCAGGAACATAAAGTGTAGTAATACTCATAATAACAAAATAATAACAAGCAAATTTAATAACAAATAACTTCTCTCCAGGATGACTCATTCACACACATCAATGGTCAACATAATCGAAAATCTAAAAATTGATACGTTCTTCGACATGGATCACCTTTATGAAGAAGTGTGTAAAATTAAAGAATTGGTGAAGGCAGCAGTGCAAAATCGCCGCTACAAAAATGGCACTACATTTTAAACGACAACCAAGACTTTGTCAAACTTCAAGTTTTCTTTTATGGCTATCAGTATCAAACGTGGCAACGGAATTTTTCCTATTTTCCCAGGCTAGCTCTAACTTAATTTAGTCTAAGAGGCGAAACCGTTTAACACTCGAGCATGTCAAAGCAGAAATTCAAGATAAAACCAATTTTAGCATGACTTGCAGTGAATTTTGTAACTATGTTCAAATGAAAAAGATAATTTTAATAAAAAATAAATAATTTACTTAAATCTACTTGTTTTGTAATTTCGTCTGATTATTATTATGTAAAATTAAATACAGATTATAGAAACACCTTGTTGTTTGTTTGTCTTGATTTACTATCTAAATCCCGATTTGTTTTACCTGATATAAATTGGACTGCATCAACAAATTGGCAACACTACCGCTGAGTGCCTGTTGCAATGCGACTTGGTAGAAGGGCAAGTTTGTCTCCAGTGGATCTATTACGTCGAAACCCGGATTGAATATTTGGAATTTGATTGTACTCTCTGTATATACTATAATTATTTATCTATGATTGTACTCTTCCAAAAATCATAGAAGGAGAATTATTAATCACTTTCTCACGAAGTTTACAGGTAGTATTAGTAAGAGAAATAGGACGATAAGACTTTGGGGATTTGAGGAGGGTTATAGAAAAGTGTATAGAGTAATAGAAAAAGTATAGAGTAATAGAAAAAAGAATAGATGCCTTTGAGATGTATATATACAGTCGAATGTTGAGAATTCCATGGGTACAAAGAGGTTACTAATGTCGAGGTACTTCGTCGAATGTATGAACAAAGAGAGGGAAATGCAGTACTTTTGGGTCATGTGTTGAGAGGCGAAAAATATGATTTACTTCAAAGAAAAGTACAGGGCCAAAGATCAGTAGGAAGACGCCAGAACTCATGGCTGAAAGACCGCTCATCCGCAGAAATCTTTCGCGCAGAAGTTTTCAAAACCACAATTGCCATTTGGATCGCCAACCTTCGACAAGAGACGGCTGAGGATGAGAAGAATCTCACTGGGAATTCCATATAAGATTATAAAACTCCAGTAGTTTGTATATCGGAGAGATTTTTTAAAAAAAATTATGGGGTCTGTCCTACACGAGCTTTGTTTTTAGCAGGAGATTTTAGGTTATGTTTAAGCTTTTTTTGTTTTATGTTTAAGTAAGTGCAGTATTAGTAAGAATTAGAACATAGACATGATTACTTTAATATGTACAAGAAGGTGAAAGAATTTTCATTCATCCGCAAAAAACAACATTGCCCACTGGTAAATAACAACGGAGAGTTAATTCATAACACCAAAGATAAAATTGAAGAATGGGAAAAATTTATACAACAGCTGTTCCGAGATGAAAGAATAGACATTACAATAAATAATGTTACTGAAAGCCCACCAATTCTAAAAGTCGAAGTGGAATATGCCATTAAACAATTAAAGACCAATAAAAGCCCTTGACCTGATGAGGTTTATCCTGAAATACTTAAATTGATCGAAAGTAATAACATTGATTTGTTAGTAATTTTGTTTAATACAATCTACGATACTGGGGAAATACCAGAGGAATGGTTAGAATCTATTTTTATTCCCATTCCAAAACAAGCTAACTCCAGGCGATGCGCAGATTTTAGATTAATAAGTCTTATGAGCCAAATGCTTAAAATTCTATTAAAAATACTTCACAATAGGGTATACAAAAGGTGTGAAAAAGAAGTTGGATACGATCAATTTGGATTCAGAGCCGGAATGGGGACCAGAGAGGCCTTGTTTTCATTACAAGTACTGCTGCAGAAGTGTTACGACCAACAAAAGGATGTCTTTCTATGTTTTGTAGACTTTGAAAAGGCATTTGATCGCGTAAACCATAATAAAATGTTAAATTCCTTGCAGAGCATCAACTTGGATAGTAAAGATCTCCGATTAATTAAGAACTTATATTGGAGGCAGAGTGCCAAGATTAGGATCGACGATCATACATCTAGAAATATTAGTATAAATAAAGGAGTAAGGCAAGGATGCATACTATCCCCTATGCTGTTCAATCTTTACTCGGAACTACTATTCAAGCAAGCCTTGGAAAACCTTTCCACGGGAATAAAAATTAATGGAGAACCAATATCTAGCATAAGATATGCAGATGACACTGTCCTACTGGCTGATACAGACACAAACTTATAGAGGGTTATAGACACAAGGATGCTTGTCGAGAGTTTGGAATGAAGATCAACGAAAAAAAAAAAACAAAAGTAATGGTGATCCAAAGAAAACAGAATATCCCCTTACCTATAAAAATAAATGGGAATATTTTAGAACAGGTAAACCAATACAAATACCTTGGCTGTTGGAAAGAAATTAAAGCGAGAATTGCTCAAGCTAGGGATAGTTTCTTTAAGATGCGCGTTCTATTCTGCGATACACATATAAATATTAAATTGAGATTAAAACTTGTAAAATATTTTATCTATTCTGTTCTTCTCTACGGAGTCGAAACATGGACTTTAAAAATAAAGAGCCTGAATAGAATCGAGGCATTTGAAATGTGGGTGTACCGTTAGAATTTTAAAAATTCCTTGGACAGCACGAAAAACAAATGAAGAAGTACTAGCTAGACTCAATTTAGAAAAAGAACTATTGAGAACAGTCAAAAGAAGAAAAACCAGTTATTTAGGGCATTTGTTGCGCAACGAGAAATACTACATACATCCCTCAGTTGATAATAAAAGGCCAAAATAGAAGGAAAGCGAGGAATTGGAAGAAAAAAATTGTCCTGGTTACGTAATATCAGAAACTGGACAGGACTTGGATTTGAGGAACTCTTAAGAACAGCTGAAGATAGACAAACGTTTGCCACCATAACCGCTAACCTCCATTGATGGAGACGGCACTTGAAGAAGAAGAAGTGCAGTATAACAATGGCAGCAGTATTATTGCGGCCCAATTTGTTGAAAGCGGATTTGGATTTGCGGATAACTTCTTCACATTTATTGTTGGATAGAAATTATTTTTGTGTTTCAAAGATACTTTTTCAAAATTATAATAAAATTTCAGAGAAGTCTTTATTAGATTGTTAATAGAAATATGTTAGCAGCATTTTTATATACCAGTTAACAAAAAATTTTTTCTTTCTAGTTCAACTTTGTAAGATATTTTGTATTTTTTAGCAGCTCTTGATAGTAATTATAAAAACAATTGAAAGCTCACAAAGAGTCACAAGTACTTCTTTTTTCTTATTTATATATATATATATATATATATATATATATATATATATAATATAATTATATATATATATATATATATATATATATATATATATACCATATGTCGAAACGCTAGCAAATATATACAAAGAGGCCACAGCTAGAGTAAGCATATATAAAAATACCCCAGAATTTCCCACTCAGAAGGGAGTCCGACAAGGAGACACCATATCCCCTAAGCTCTTCACTGCAACCTTAGAAAATATCTTCCGGAAATTAGACTGGAACAACCAAGGTGTATAGATGGAGAATACCTAAACCATCTTAGATTCGCTGATGACATCATTCTAATTGCTAGAAGTCCTGAAAAATTACAACTACAAATTATTGACCTCAATACAGCCAGCAATGAGGTAGGCCTAAAAATGAACCTAGCAAAGACTAAAATATTGTGCAATGATCTGATCGCCAACGTGGAAATAAAAATTAATGAAACCTCGCTAGAAGTAGTAAACGAATACATATACCTGGGACAGCTCATACATAAATCGGGATCACTACTTCCGGAAATCAACAGACGAATAAAACAAGCGTGGTCAGCATTCGGACGAAACTCCATAGTCTTCAAGTCCAAAATGCCACTATACCTCAAGAAGAGAGTATTTGATCAATGCATATTACCCGTATTGACGTATGGATGTGAAACTTGGATATTAAAGAGAGAAATAACGTCGAAACTCCAAGTAACTCAAAGAGCAATGGAAAGATGTATGCTAGGGATAACAAAGAGGGATCGTAAAAGAATTGAATGGATACGGAGGCAAACCTAGGTGACTGATGTAATCCAAAGAATAAAATCCCTGAAATGGCAATGGGCAGGACATATAGCAAGACAAACAGACAACAGATGGACCACTAGAACAACTATGTGGTATCCCAGGAACGCTAAGAGACCAAAGAGGCGCCCGAATCTCAGATGGGATTATGATATAAGAAAATTAACAGGAACAACGTGGTCTCGAATAGTACAAGATGGAAAAATATGGACGCAAATGAGCGCAAATTACAAGAACAACGAATAACTTAGACATCGTCGAATACTAATAAGAACATAGAATAACATTGAAATAAGGGAGGCTGCACCGTAATTGGAAACGGTCGACAAAGCTGCACATGATGATGATGAAGATGATATATATTAGTTTATCTTGTAATAAATAAAATATACAGAAATGAGTCGTCTATTATAACAAAAATCCCACAGAGTAGAATATGCATACATAAAACTGAAGAAAATGATGGAAACATCAAGAAGAAACTGAAAGAGGACAATTAATCAAACATAAAGATCAAAAAAGAAAAAACGACAAGAGAATTAAAGAAAATTACATCAAACGGTCACTTCAATACAAAAGTAGGTAAAGAAAACCAAAAATAAGGCAGGGAAAGAAACTATTCATGATGAGACAAATGATAATGGAAGAAAATTATAGCAGCAATAGAGATAGTAATATTCGATGAAATAAGTAACTAAATAAGGCAATGTTAAAAGTATTAAGAATAATAAAAAATAAAATAAGTAAGTACTTTTTTAATAAGTAATTTCCAAACATAAAGTGTAATGCAAATCTGGCAATACTTACCAATTTCCCCTCTTTCTAACGTCAATTAAATTAATGTTAGCCATGACTACCATATTCTTTTTGACATCTGTAATTTTGTATATGAAATATGATCGCGGTCTTATATCTGTATAGGCAAAATTCCGATCAAAGGGGGGTTGGACATGTGGCTCACTGAAAAAAATACTTCAATAAACTAAATTATCATAAAATAATTATAAAAAAGGCAAAATAATTCAAGAGGAAAATTACAAGTAATGAATAAAAAGGCTGATGATTAACTGAATTTTATGTAAAAGTAATTGCTTACCTAATCACATTGAAAATTAGGGCTTCTTCCGTTGTTATCGAAGAACTTGAGCATGCTACGTTTGCCATAAACACTTTCACGACGCTGCCTTCAAACCAGGCATTCTCAATCCTAACGTCTACCGGATCTCCAACAGAATATGCCTGACTTAAAGTATCAATAAGTTCATGTTTTTGAAGTGTTTCAATTGCAGTCTGTCCTGTCGTTTTTTCTGTTTTAGTGACATCTTTTTTAGACCTAGACAGCCTGGGCCGTCTTTTCTTCCTCTCTTTTACTACGACGATTTCCCCATCGGTTTTGAAATAATCTCCGATTATTATATTTGTGTCACAAAGCTACAATATAAATGTTAATATATAATGTTGATATTAATGACTTACGTCATTAATAACACAGGCATGAAATAATCAAAAAATCACTTTTCACTTTAGTAGAGTCAATAATAATTATTATTTTGTTAATTATAACTGTACGAATTCCTGTTTCATCGACTTCGACAAGGCATTCGACAGGGTCCGACATGAAAAACTAATAGAAGTACTGAGAAACACAGATATAGACAGACGAGACTTACGAATCATTATCAATCTGTATTGGAATCAAAATCCCAATATAAAGATAGAAGAACAAAAGTCCGAATATATGGATATAAAGAGAGGAGTAAGACAGGGCTGTGTTCTGTCACCATTACTGTTTAACGTGTACGTGTTTAACGTATAGGAGATGGGACTTTAAGAAGAAGAAATCTACGAATTCTACTTCAAATACATTGTCAAATTCAATAACTTGTAGAACGACAATGATATTAATAATAGACAATCCTAGGACAGATTTTTTTCAGTGATTTATTTATTATTTTTAATAGGTACCACAAAAGAAATGCAACACTCCAAGGAAATAATAAAAATTGGGACATGGAATGTGAGATGAGAATAAATTATAGAAAAATACACAATAGATATCTTTGCCCTGCAAGAAAGGAAACAACTGGGAGGTGAAATAATAAAAATAGGAAATAGTACACTGTTCAAGATGGCGGAGGGGGGAGGGGGGTTGAGAGATGGACCTGTAAACAAAGAAAATTCAACCAATATCAGACTGAATATATTACTTGAGAGTAAGAGGAGGTGTACATTAATGTGCATGCGCCCTGTTTTGATTCCTTTGGTTTATATATATATATTATATATTATATATATTATATATATATTATATATATATATATATATATATATATATATACCGGATGACATCTGTCTGTCATCGGTCTTCTTCTCTTTTACCTTTAACATAATATATTACACGCCCACTGAAGATGAAACCAAGAAAGAATGATTTAGAAACCAAAACAGAGTTTTACGAAAAGCTAAGCACTCTAATATAGAGAATATACAGAAATATAATGTAAAGATAATCATTGTTGACATGAATGCTAAAGTCAGAAAAGAGGAAATATATAGAAGAATTTGCACTTTGCATGTTGGAAGGTGGGTCACAGAATGAACTTGACCAAAACTAAGTTTATGACAAATATGGTCCCCAATAACCACTTAACTATTCAACACTAAGTGGTAAAACTGATGGAGTAAGTAAAAATACGTATTTGAAAGAGGAATCAGCAGGGATAACCAAACATGCGAAAGCCAAAGACGTGGACAGCCTTAGGAAAACTGCGAGACACACTTAGGCCCAATATACCAATTAGGAGGACGAAGTTTACATATGAAATCAAATTGAAACCGGAAAAAGTTAATACAATTTGCTACAGGGAACAAAATGAAGATAGCCATCACAAGTTTTGATCACAAAGATATTCATTAGGTAATATGGAAAAGGCAAATTCTATCTCCCGATAGAAAAGTAAACAATCAGATATATTATGTTGAAAGCAAACATGATAAGGCAATAATCGATTCCAGGAATTACAGAGGGGTAGATACACCATACACTAATGATAGAGTGACCATACACTAATAATAGCAAAAATTAACCAATAATTTCAAAACCTGTTAGAGTAATTTCCAATTAGAGCGCCTTCAAGGGAAGCAGGTTAGTAAACGGACTAGAGGAAGAAATAAATAAAAAGCTAGAGAATCTAGTCAAACAGGATATAGAAGAATGGCAGACCATATAGACAGCCATGTCGAAAGCAGCGGAAAAGTATAGGAAAAGAGCATATGAAAAGACAGCAAGATTGGTTTGATGAAGAATGTAGTAATGCTTTGGCAAGAAGAAACAGGGCAAAACTACAAAGAGATAGAGAAAATTCCCAGAAACGGGATCGAAAACTATGTGGCGAGAAGAGGAGAAATCCAGAGAAACTAAAAGTATCGCAGAAACAAAGAAGGTTTACTTCTAGGAGAAACAATAGAAAAATTAAAACAGATGGCAGAATACTTCGAAGATCTATTAAATACAGACCAACAAGACGAATTCGAGCGAAATGAGAATTGGCAAGAAGATATATATATATTATATATATATATATTATATATATATATATATATATATATATATCTCAAACGATGCTATATGAGGTCATGAGAATATTAGAAATACCAGAAAAGCTTATAAGGCTAATGAGAATGACGCTTTGGAACATGATAAATAGGGTAACATTGAAAGGAAGCTTTTCAAGACAGTTCACATTGAATAGAGGTTTGAAACAAGGAGGTCTGCTATCAACGAATTTATTCAACCTAGTATTAGAACAAATCGTAAGAAGATCTAAGATGAACACAAAAGAACCATTTTCAAAGGCAGGGAACAGTGACGTATGTGGATTATGTTCTCACTAGCGAGAACAAAAAAACATCTAGAAAATGTTTTCGCGAAAACAATTTTCGTTTTCTAAATGTTTTTTAGAAAACGCAATATATAGAAATGAAAGGAGACCTAACAAATAATAATAAAATTAATCAAAATCAAGGGAGCACAACTGTCTATAGTATTAAAAAATTGTCAGAATTTTGATACTTAGGAACAACCATAAAAAACACGGGAAAATAAGAAAAGGAGATAGAAAAAAGATTAATGAAGGGAAGCAGAGCGATATCTCTTTGATGTCTTCTTCAGGGCTTCCGAGGTCTCAATCTCCTGAGCCCCTGAGGAGGTTGGAATTACTGCCATGGGTTGGCCTGCGAGAAGTCCTGATCTCAACCTAATAGAACAAATTTGCGACATCATAGGCAGACGACTACGACAACTTCCTAATTCGCCAAACGAATTAGATGAACTGTTTTTGCGGTTGGTTGAGATTTGGAATCAAATTAATTAAGGAGAAATCAGGACGATTATTTTCAGTATGAGAGATCGTCGTCGAGCAGTAATAAATGCCAGAGGATGTAATACTCGATACTGGTACATGTTTCAATTTCGTCATTAATTTATAATGTTATTTTGTTTAGATCAGTTGTTTGTTTAGATGTTTAGATTTATGATGTTATATTGTTAATTTCAATACATTTTTTGTAAAAAAGAAAAGTTTTTATTAAAGATGTTCTAAAACGGCCATAAAGCAGAAAATAACAAACAAAACCTTTTTTCATTACAACTCAAAATAAGAATTTTACAATTATGTGTTAATTTTGGAGCGCAGTATAATTCTTCTAGAGAATCTTATGAAAGGACACTTCTACAAATGATCATTTGGTTCAGCTTGCACCACTCCATAACATTTTCGAGATCAATTTGAATTTCTTCATAATCTGAGGCAGATTCAACGATTATTATAAATTTTTGGATTATCAGCAAATAATAGGATGTGTGAGATAGCTAATTGAGATGTCATTGATGAATATTAAAAAGATCAACAAAGATACAACTTTGTTGTATCTTTTCTGTTTGGGAGTGTTTGGGAGTTTTCTCTCCAAAACATTAGAAATGTATATACAAAAAATAAAAGTTATTACACATAGGGAAAAATAAAACAATAAACATATTTAGGTAATTAACATAGTTACAACATAACATAGTCAGATCATACAGTTCATGTTCTATATAATTGATAGGTTTCGAAAAATAACTGAATTTTATGTGTATTGAAAACACTAACCATGAAAAGGGATTTTTTTAAATATTATTTTATAAGACGAGATCTAATAAATTATATATTATCGCGAGAACTTGTTAAAAGCACTAATACTTACTTCAACCCCCCTATGGAACAGCTGTAGGTTAGAACTCTGTGTACCATAATGTGTGGCCACAAATGTTAAAACTTCTGGTAGCCTTGTTGTACGGAACAGATCCGCATCTAAATCTGGATCTCTCATATCATCCTTTTTAAAGAGAATCCTTATTTTATCCATATTGATTCTTGGGAAATCTGAAAATATGATACATTTTATGTTACATTTGAAATTCGCTACATTTGCAATTTACAAATGTTAATCGAATTATTTTATAAGTACCTATACATATTTAGCGGCATAATTTTTGTATACTGCTGTGAAGTTAGCAGATGTAGGGTTTCAGTAATGTTTTTTCTTCTAGCACTATTATTTCGCTGGCCAAAAAGTTATTTTCAGGCAAGTGAAAACTTCTATAGTAAAATGGTATTTATTTAAACATTATTTTTATAAAAAATTGAAATTTTACAAACGGGTTAAAATTTCATAATAATATCAGCAGTTTAACACATATCTTCAATACAACAGTTAAGAAATACAATATGATAATATCAGCAGACAAAACCAAATGTATGACAACATCTAAATACCCACTACGGTGTAAAATCGAAATTGATGGGAAAATAATATATCAGGAAGCAAGGTTTAGATATTTGGGAATAGATATAACTAGTTACGGAGATGTTGAAGAAGAAGTACGACAACAAAGCTTAAAAGCAAGTAAAGCGGCGGGTTCTCTTAATGACACAATCTGGAAGAACAAACACCTAAGACAAGACACAAAAAACAAGAATCTATAAAGCAGCAATTAAACCTATATTAACATACACGGCGGAGACAAGACCAGACACATCTAAAACGAGACGACTGCTAGAAAACAACAGAGATGAAAATACTCCGACGAATATCAGGAAAAAGTCTATTGAATAGGGAGAGAAGCAAAAACATAAGAAGAGCGAGCATGCAATATAGATGACATAAATGGATGGGTGACAAAAGGAAAACAGGAGTGGAACGAACATATCAGTAGAATGGCAGAGGATAGAATAGTACGAATAGCACGAGATAAGTCACCAAATGGACGAAGAAGTTGGACAGACCAAGAAAAAGATGGTGCGACCATTTATGAGGCTAATACCGAAGAAGAAACAGGCTTTAAAGCCTATATACTAGAAGGAAGAAGAAGAAGAAGAAGGTTAAAATTTCAAAACTTTCATCAATGAAAATATAGTTAGCAATTGAAAAAGTTTAATACACTTTAGATTACATATTAAATGTATTAAGAATTGTTAAACTTATATGTTAGATTGTGGAACTCCGTGTGCGTGTATATGTTAGATTTTGGAAACTGTTCATAAACTGTTTTTGTTTGGCGAATTCTGGTATTATGACCGTAGACGTAATATTTGGTAATATCAATTACGTATATGATGAAGACATGCATTCTATGTCACTACGTTGTCACAGAATAATAAACAATCAGAATGCCCACTCTGCTTGTCAAGATAAGTACGCACATCTCGTTCGCGCAGACGGAATCTGCTATGTTTTAAACGGACTGTACTGTTTAGTGAAATTTTATCTGGTGTGCATAGAAAAATTAACCCGGTTTAATTTCTTTACGGCAACCATAGACATAACATGCACTATTTATTCGTACTTTTAGTTGAAGAATAGATTAAATTATTATAAATTTACCAAATTATTAATCTCTAAAAATTTAAATTACAGTACTGTAGTAGCTTGTCACAAATTTCTCAATCCGAGATTCTGTGACGCTGTAGCACAGAAAAATAAACAATCAGAATACTCACTCTTCTTGAAAAAACCGCTGACGGAATCAGCCATGTTTTAAACGGAACCAGTGTTATGAAGTGTGTGCTGTGATTTTATCTGGTGTGTATAGACAAATTAACCCGGTTTAATTTATTTACGGCAACTACAGACATAATATGCAATATTTTATTCGTACTTTTAGTCGAAGAATAGATTAATTTCAAATGTAATGTAATTCAAATTATTAATCCCTAAATATTTAAATTACAGTTCTGTCGCAGCTTGTCACAAATTTCTTAATTCGAGTCTATGTTTCCGTCTAAAACATGGCGTTCGCGTGCTGACAAACTTCAAAGGCGGCATCGAAGAGTCTGATTCTGATTTATTGTAGTGGCTGTAGTGTCTAGCAGAGTCAAATGTACAAGAGTGTAAGCCAATAAAAGAGAAAGAAGAACACTACGCTGTCATTTGTCAAGTATTATTTTTGTTTATTTGTAAACCTCCAACAAATAAGCAACTTAGTTTATAATGTAACAATGTTATTTCACAAAATGTGTTTAAAGAAATTAAAATTGTCTCATATGTTCTTTATAAATAGTTTAGTTGTATTTGTTGCAGTATCTGTAACTATTTTTAATTACATTTATTTAACCTCAAATATGATTATTGATGAAGAATTTCATCTTCCTTTAGGAAAATTATATTGCAACTTTGATTTTTTTGTGGTAAGATTCGTCTAAATTATAATAAAAAGTTCATATAACTAAAAACAATTTTCAAAGTAGAAATCAACATTGGCTGTCAATAAAAATATATGTAAATTTTGTAAAATAATTAAGGAAACTGTTAATAGTTTTAAACAACATATCTAGATTTTGTAGATGTATACACAGAATATTTAAATTTTTAGTGGGATCCTAAAGTAACTACCTTGCCAGGTTTATACATAGTAAGTTCAATGATTATGGGTCCACTCAGTTTATGTACAACATATTGGTTGCGATTTGTATCTTTGGTGTTTTCCATTATCAACATACTGCTCTTTTACGTCCTTTTTGATATATATGATAAGGTAAGTAATTGTTAATTTAAGATATTGAATTCCTGGACAAACTAACTAAATCACATTCTTTAAAAACATTAAAGATCTACTGATACACAGCTTAAATTAGTTCTTTGAATTTATTCCGTATTTATAAAGGATTTTTTAAATAAAAAATTAAACAGTAAAAGGAAAGAATGAGAACAATTTATATTTTTTAACACTTGTGTAGAACTCTATTATTCCAGCTATATTTATGATTTTAGCATGAATGGGGTAATATTTTTTCATCTCTAACATTAGCTTTACTTCCTCCATTGTATTTCTTCAGCCATGTTTACTATACTGATGTGGTATCTTTGACAATGGTTTTGTTAATGATGGTAGCAAGTGAAAAAAAATGTCATTATATGGGAGCTATATTTGGTAAGTGCATTTGTTGTTTTTTATCTTCTAGGGTACAAAAACAATGGACAACAGGAGTGATGACGTAGATTTTACTGACATACGTCAGTTTCACTTTCCAAACAAACCTGGTTTAGTGTGGATAATTTGTATTTTTCTTTATTTTTTAATTTTTTTTCTAGAATCTTTCCGCTTATTGCAATATTTAAGCATTCTAACAGTTACTACAACAATTTTACAAGGTTGTGTAAATAATAAAGCACATTGTTTTATGCTAATAGCTATAAAATGTATGTATCAATAAAGTAAGGTTACAATTTCTTTATTTAAATTTTTAAACTATATTTCATAGAAATAGAACTCTGAATTATGATGGTATTATCGTAAAAAAACACTATGCTTACAAGAAAAAGCAGCAGAGGAAGCAAAATGTTAACTTTATAGAAATTAAAAAGTCTTGAGATTTGACATTTCAACTTTTGTTTGGAAAGTAATAATGTCAATGTGACAGTCGTGACGTCACACTCCTGCGGTCCATTACATCAATAGTCATGTCCAGAAGCATAATTTAAAAAATTAAGGTTAAGATAACTAACAATATATTCAGAGTTCAGAAGCTGAGAAGTTTTCATCCCGAATAGCTAATAGCAAACATCTTAAATATCACTACACTGTGATCTAACAGCTGTAATTTCACATAAAGTCGTGACAACACAAACAGGAATGTATATCACAGGGGAAAACATGTTGTCTAAGTGATTCCCCAGAGAGCTAGCCAACTCTGGGGGATTGTAGCCTTGGTTTCTGTTGACAGAGGTTCCTAGAAAATGGCTCCTTCATCACTATACAAGAGCTTCCACAAAACTTATGTCCCTATGAGTTATGGTCAATGAAATATGTACAATAAGTCAATTGACTGCGTTACAACCAGTTTAAACCAGACAGCATCTTTTATTTTCTACCAAACAAATGCGTAAACTTCTTTTAGTAGCAACTATATGACAATACACTGTGGTGATTTCCTGATCTATTATTTATATTAAATAAACAGTTGTTTTTATTGATTTTTAGGCATGGCTGCTATAATTTGCCGCCAAACCAATATTATTTGGCTTTTACTTATATCTGGAAAATATGCTTTAACAGAAATGTACAATTGTTGTTCAGATAAGGAAACTTTAAGGAGAGGAATTCCTGTAATAGTAAGTTTATTCTTAAATTTATCTTTAATTTAAAACCACCATAATTCTACAGTTTTACTATTCTTATTTATTTTATTAATACAATTAGTTTAAATAAGCACCCTCAAGAACATTACAACAAATTAATTAATTATAAGCAAAAGTGATTTAAAGCTTCATGTAAATTGGCTTTTGTTCACAATAATTTACATAATACTATATATATTCATAACAATCATATCCAATAGATCACTGATAGGAACTAAATCCTTGTTTAGTGTTGAGTGATGGCACTCTATACCAGCAACCATAAACAAAATTAGTTTATGATAAACAGCTCTTCCAAAATACAATATTACAATTGGATATTTCTGATGAGACATTTAATGGAAGTAATAAATGTAATTGCTGTAATCATGATGCAAAAACTAGTAGGAGAGAAAACTTGATAGGGAACATATTCCATATAGCAATAGTATAAATTTGGAAAACAGAATAAGAAAACACAAAATTACTTCTCATTAAAGAAATTATTTGAATTCTTTATGAATCTTCAGCATACGATTCTAAGACAAGCAGATATTTGAAGAAGAAAATTGTGCCTGAATTACAATGCTGAAATGTAAAATATAATAAACACATTATTTTCAGCTGTTTTATTCATTTTTGTCAAATAATCAAACCATGTTGACATTTTTGTTAACAGTAAGGATTAAGATTATTAATGTTTTATTATTCTGAAATTTAGGCATATTTGTATGGTTTTTTCCTAGAATGTAAGATTAATTTGGATGTTATATAGTGCTAATCAATGGCTAAAATTTATTAAAAATAAAGTAAATGTTGTAGCCCATTAACATATTAATTTTTGTTATATTTTCAGGAATTCATAACCTTTCTGACTGAAACAATCAAGAACCCATTGAATAAATTGCGTAAAATGACTACCACATTTTGGTGTAATGTAATGTGGTATATTGCGATAATGTTAATATTTTTAGGATTTTTGATCTACAACGGAGGTATAGTTGTGGGAGATAAGACTGCTCACGTATCTACAATACATATTCCACAACTGTTCTATTTTTCTTTGTTCTGTCTGATTTTCTCTTGGCCTCACTTTGTTGGGGAAGTTTCAAGCTTTCTTGCATTTAGTAGGAAACACAAAATAGGTATTATTGTAGTCACATTACTAGGATTTTTAATTGTTATGTTTAATACCCAAGTGCATCCCTATTTACTGGCAGATAATAGACATTACATGTTTTATATTTGGAACAGATTTTATCAAAAGTATGTTTTGTTTAAATATGCCATTGTACCAGTGTACATATTTGCTTGGTATGTTATTGTCAAATTGCTTTATGACAAAGATGATATAACATTTTTATTCTTTTACTTGGTTTGTACAACGATAGTATTAGTTACTCAGAAATTGATAGAAGTTCGCTACTTCCTTATACCATACATACTTTTCAGACTGAGATTAAAAAGCAATGCCAATAATGCATTTAATTTAGTTTTAGAATTTGTAACTTATTTGTTAATTAATCGTATAACTTTACAATTGTTCTTTACCAAAGTTATTACTTGGAATGATTATTCTGAGTTTCAAAGAATAATCTGGTAAGTGTAGGCAAGAAGACAGTCCTGGAGTTTTTATTATTTAGTAGTGTATTTATTAATGCTATGTGATGACAAATGCAACACTAAGATATTTTTATACACTAGTCCAGTTTAGAATGAAACAATGATAGACTTTACTGGAAAATTTATTAAAGGTCTAAGTCATACAGGGATATGGGTAATGAAAAATACATATGAGATAGGCCCAATTTTTGGGCGTTGGCCTTTGTTTATATAGCATATTAAGTTAGTATGCCTCATCAATTTAAAAAAATAATACATAAGAGTATGTTATAAACGAAATATGGTTCAATAACGACACACTATTCATTCACAGAACAAATATTCATATATCTCATAGTTGAACCATAAACTATAGGAATCAATAAAAGTGGAAAACTTAGGTTAAGAAAAGTAAAGAATTAAGCATTAAAAATAATTAAGACAAACTCTTAAAGAGTAAAACTTAATTTGGTCTCAGGTTAAAGATTAAAAACCAAAGGGATGATATGAAAAGGTGAAAAAAACATGCGAAATATAGGAAAAAAGGAGAAATAAATTGGAAAATAAAAAGGTTCCATAAATTATATATGAAAATGACCTGATAAATATAAATGGGTAAAAAGTGAAAATAGGTATACAAATACTATAATAGAGGCATACAGTTTTATATAAATAACAAAACCTGACAACGTCTGAAGAATACCTTCACTAAATTCATTAATTCCTCCTTGACCAGTGGTTGTGTTTAAAAATGAAGTATTGGAAGACATAATTATTATAAATATACTCATAGCAACTTTTTAATCAAAAACTCTCGGGACTGATCTTTTTACTGTCATGTTTTGTGATATTTGTTATATGATAAAAATATTTAATACCATGTGTAACATTCCAAAATTTCACATTATTTTAAATAATAGATTCATTGTTAATCTAATTATTTCAAAAGATATATTAATTTTAAGCAATAATTACTATTTTGTAAGAAGACTGTACTATTACTATACTATTGACTGTCAATAAAAAATTTAAATAAATAGTGTTTTCTTTGCAATAAGTGTAAAATTTGGAAAACATACAGTTCTCAAAACATAGACAGCATAATGCCCTGTGTTGCTACGGTAAAATGACAGAAATTTCATTTAACATACAGCCACAGTACAAAACATAAAATATAACCTCTCAAGTGGAGTAGATCTGTTGGTTTTGTTTTCCCAGTCAGGTCATATGGAGAAAATGCCTTGAATGGGAATGGAGCCAGACAGATTGACCAATGTGACCAGTATTTGTCAAGAATATGCAATGGTTTCTATAAACAAACATAGACTATGAAAGAGAAATGTTAGAAAAGAGTCAATGATCAAGGAAAAGAGACACTAGTGGAATTTGATGAGATAAAGAATATACAATACAATCACAATAGTCCCCTAAAGTCAATCTCTTTTTTTTTATAAATTGAGATGCATTTAAATATTTAGCATCAAAAACAAAAGATATACAAGGAATAACGAATGAAGAACAATATGTAGCAGCAGAAGAAGCCAGTGGAAGGGAAAATGACAACAAGGACCAAAAACCAAAAAAAGCTTACCAAAAGTGGCTGACCACAGGAGATAAAAAATACAGAAGGAAAAGTTATGAAATAAAAAAGAAATAAAGAGCAGAAAATATCAATTCGCAAAAAAATGTGGATGGCTTAAAGAGACAGTAAAATGTAGGGGTATTGTAATTCTGATACAATGTGTTATGTTGATTTATGTTACTGTTCATTTATTTCTATATGAATGAATGTCAGATTTCGCTTGCTTGTCATGTGCCCTGATGTGCTAATACTTCTGTTATTTATATTTATTTCTGCAACAGTAGGGAGGCATTTAGGAACTTTAGAAATGGTAATGATACAATCAATACAAATGAGAATGAGACAGACCTACCAAACATGCCGCTTCGACCTTAATAAAAAAACAAATATTTAAGGAATGATTGATGGAACATAAATGCTATAAAAAAACTTTACGAAGATAATACTCAGAAACATTTAAAATTGATAAAAAAAACCAACAAGGATGCTGACTGTCATCAACCATATTTAAGTTTTATATACATGATCAATAGAGAGATAAAACCATACACAAATAGAAACTAGATAGAATGGAAACTGTGAGAAGAAACTTTGATGTTGGAACAGGCAAATAATGGTTCCTATAATGCCTGAAATGGTTTCCAAGTCATTCTTCTTATAGAGAAACACTGTGTTACATCTTATAAATTTAGTTACCTTTAAACCATTGAAAAAAATCACTACGTTTTTGTAATCTGTTGAAAACCTATAAAACTGATAGCATGGATAGTTTAAACGATTTTTTAAGGTGTTGGCATGTGCCATATAACTTTTATTTATAATTTATATTTATTGGTGGGCTATTGCTGAAAGTAATGTTTTTGTTGTATATACCTAGCTGCAGTCTAGCGGCTAGCATATATTTATTCAAAATCAAACAAATTGACAATGTCAAGTGTTATGTCATAAATGTCATGTCATTCGGTAAAAATTAGTAACCATAGAAATATATATTACGTCTATGATAAAAATGGTCTAAAATTGTATTCCTAAACTTTTAAATGAAATAATTGTTAGGTTATTTTGTTTATAAGGACTCCTATATAGGAGCATAGTCAACTTCGGACACCAATTGTTGCAAAGAAATGGTATTGGTATAATACCGGCATTTATATAAATAAAAAAAAGACCTCAGATCTTAACATTACAAGAAAATTCAAATGCCATTAGTCAAAAATAAAAAAAAACACATAGAAACTCGAAGGCGAATTTAAATTCAAGACAGCACCAAGACCTGACCAAGATTGAAGTACCAGAGTAATAAAGCAGATATTAGTAGGAAGACCTAAGCTTAAATAAGTACAGAGAAGAGTGAAAAAATATTAACGTCAAATTCATAAGTTTTGAAACTTGAATAGAAGAAGAATTGCGCCGAATTACGGACGGAGAAATAACGTTTGATTTATAGTGAGAACAACAAAATAATTATAAATAAACGTTGATAGTATACAAGGCAACTATCGAACACAGTGATTAATTAAACCTTGCCCAAGTACTTTCGATCAATAGATCATCTTCAGGGGCATTTCGCCAGTTGTGGCCTATCCGACATGAGTAGAATGTCATACATGTAAATTTGGATATAACAATACAATACACATGTATGACATGTATTTACATGTATGACATTCTACTCATGTCGGATAGGCCACAACTGACGAAATGCCCCTGAAGATGATCTATTGATCGAAAGTACTTGGGCAAGATTTAATTAATCACTGTGTTCGATAGTGCCTTGTATACTATCAAAGTTTAATTATTCGAACATTCATTCTTATATTGAATTATAAATAATATAAATTAGATCTAGCAAATTTCACTAATCTCGGTGAAAAAAAAAGAGTATATAATATAATTTACCGGTATGTAATGCCAGACGAAGATCGGTGGCCACTCGAACGGATAACCAATGTTTTGTGTAAACTAAAGTACCTTAAACTATTTTATTATATTAAGCTATTTCTAGTAAAATCAAATAGAGAATATTGAGAAATATTTGGCGCGTCTTTTCAAGACGTTCTTAGCCGGCAAACAAATATCTTGTAATATAAGTCTAGTATTCGAAAGATTATATTATATGAACGAATTATTTTTCTAAAACTGCATCTTTCTACTATTTCTAGAAAAATGTATTACAATGTTTCAGAGATATATTTTTTGTCGGCAATTACGGACGCCGAACTGAATACATGCTGGTTTCATTTACACTAATAAATAATTATTAAAAATTTTACGCGTAAATTTCAGAACAAAATAAACAAGAACAGTATATAAAACATTTACCTGTGTAATTAGAAATGAGCACAATAACACACATTCACAAATTCACACAATTCACAACATTCCCGGAGCACTCATAGAACTTGTCTGAAAGTCAGACATAAACTGATAATTTTCGCGTTCCTCCCGCAGTCACAAGTTATAATCCCGCCAATCAGAGTCATTTGTTTTAAAATAGTCGTTGAAACAGTGTTGCCAGTACACTACGTTGTCTGGAAACGGACGGATAGGATGTGTGTTATATTTAAAATAAAGTAAAATACATATATTTACATTTAAAATATATTATTAAAGTTTTTGTTTAAATTTCACTGTTACTATTAAAAATCAGAGGAATATATTATATTATAATTATTTACCTAATTTGAGCATAAAAATGGAAAATTCAACACACAACGGCAACTCGACAATAACATTAGAACAATGTCCCTATGCAAAATTTCAGGCGTTTTGCAGGTGTTCATAGCAGGTATAAGTTGAACAATGAGACCATTATTTATTATGTTTATTCGCCAGTAACAGAAAACAGACAGATATTGTGTTGTAAAATATTCAAAATGCTTAGTTATTGAAACTATTATTTATTAATTTGAATAAAAATTTGTTCAGTAGTGTTTTATTTTGTTTGGAAACAATAACGCTTTGGAATAATGGAATTGGTGGTTCTTTTTGTGCGACAAATATAGTGGAAAATATATTTCCAATATTCGGGTAACTTATTATTCGAATATATTATTATAAACGAAAATTTGGTCCAAAACACTATCCTTGCGGTATTTCTATATTCTCGAAAATATCAAATACTTAAAAATATCTACTACACTGTACTTTTTGACAGAGAAAATCAATCAATTCGATTGTATACAGACGAAGTCGTAAAGCATTCGTCAGAATCATTCAAATCAATATCTCAATATCGTTACTAAAACCAAATAAAATTGACAGAGGACAAATGGTGAAATGATAAATACATGATAAATTTGTATTTTCTAGTTGTTCTTTGTTCTGTTGGCGAAAAAGACTGAGAATAATGCTAAATTTTATGAAAATGACGTATTGGATGATGGTAATGAAGAAGCTAATAGTTTAGGAATTGAGATACAGCAATTTTTTGAGATGTTTAAATGGAAGGATAGAGATGGAAGAAGGAAGGATAGTATTATTGGAATATGTAAACAATATGTCTCCGTGTGGAGTGTCTGTCTCCTATCGGACGCGTCCCCAGGTGGTGGATAGGGGAACGCCCTAACCGGTCCCAGCATCGGCGGGTAGGTGGGAAATAAAATACCACCCGCGAACCAAAACAGACTAAGGTATGGTAACCCTAACAGAAGAGTCTCTGGTCCTTCTGTCTGGGGGTTGGGCGTAGGGCTAACAACCCTACCCTGGAAAAAAAAAGAATTTTTACGAAAGCTGAAAAAACAAAAACCGGACGGACCTTATGTAGACGATCTCGCAAAAGAAAAAAGGATATTCGACTTGGATCATGGAACGTGAGAACATTGTACTCTGCAGGAGCGATGAGGTGTCTCTTAGACACTCTTAACAAATATAATATGGACATAACAGCTATACAGGAGATGCGACGGAAAGGGACCGGTACTCTCCAGAAGAATCTGAATACCATATATTATAGCTGTCATCAAACTCAACATATCTTTGGGGTAGGCTTTGTAATTAGCAAAAGAGTTAATAACCTAGTAATAGGTTTTGACGCTATAGATCATAGAATATGTGTTCTAAGAATACGTGGAACATTCTTTAACTACAGTCTTATAAACGCACATGCCCCCACTGAGGATAAAACAGACACAGAAAAAGAAGAATTCTATGAGAAAACTAGAACAAACATATAGACAGTGTCCCAATAATGACGCTAAGTTGATTATCGGAGACATGAATGCCAAGGTAGGACAAGAGGAGATGTACAGACCAACCATAGGACCTTACAGCATACACAAAGAATGTAATGATAATGGGACGAGACTTGTAAATCTCGCAGCATCTCTGAACATGACGATCAGTAGTACATACTTTCAACATAAACGTATACATAAAGTGACGTGGACATCGCCAGATCATCAGACCCAAAATCAGATAGACCACGTACTGATTGATTTAA